CGGAGCGCCGGGCGGCGCAGGCCTCGCGGGTAGCCCGCAGCTGGCGCGGAGGGGTCGCCTCGGGGCTGCCGGCAGCTCGGCCAGAGAGAGCCTGGAGCTGAAGGACATCTTTATTGCGGTGAAGACCACGAGGAAGTACCATAAGAGCCGGCTGGACTTGCTCCTCCAAACCTGGATCTCCCAGGCGAGGGGACAGGTGAGACTTCGCCAGCGGGCAGGGACAGCCGGGAGCCTGGGCCCTGGGCTTTCCGGGGCAGCTGCTGCACTCTCACGAGTTTTCTCTTACTTGTGTTAAAAGCGGCTTTCTTTGTAAGACTGTGGAAGGTCGTCTTGTATAAATGGTTGGTGTGTACATGTGTCCGAAAGACTTTGTTGCTGATTAAGTCAGTTACCTGCAATGTGGGATCGGTAGTCCAAGCAGACATAATTTGCTGTTTTTTCTGTGACTGTGGAAAGTGCTTTCGTGATAGTGAAAGATTCCTGGTGCTGATGCATCTAAGCCGATATTTTGGACTAAGTTGTTCAGCCACGTAAGTTTTTCTGTAGAACATAAAATTTGTTCCCTTGTTTCAGAATTTCAGTCCGTTCAAATATATTAGTGGAATTTTGTCCAGCAGTTGGAACAAGACAATGTTAGCCACCTGCCACTTCCCACCTTGAGTGGCATTCTTTCTTCTTAACCTGCTTGACAGCTGTGGATGATTCCTAGTCAGAGAAAGAAAGTAGTACCAAAAAAGACCAAAATCCTTTCTATCTCGAAATCAGTTGTCTTACCCTTAGACAAGGAGGGCAAAATACAGCCTGCTTTATTGAAATGACACTCTTCTGGTTTGTAGTGAAAAAATGCAACAAATAAAGCACGGGTTAAAGTTGCTGGGGGTCTCTGCACCCCTACTTCCTCCCTCATTCCAATGGATACTGTGAAACAAACTATCAAGACAGACAAAGCATTCTGAATTCTGACTGAAATGGAGCATATTTAGCATTAGCAGCTGCAGTTCTTAAATATGGGCACACTGGTTTTGTCTCCCACAGACATTTATATTCACAGACTGGGAGGATCGGGAGCTACGCCTGAAAGCAGGTGAGCTGTGTAGCTCTGTCTGTTATATACTATGCTATATACTATATACTGTCTGTTATAACTGAGTCAATTTCTTTCATGCATTCTATAGAAGTCCTTATTTCATGCTGTACAAGCAACTAAGGAAGTTAAGATGGAGAAAATAGAGAAAATTTCTCCCTAATTGCCACCTAGACAAGATGCCTGGAACTTCCAGTATACTGGGTTCACCTTTGCAACCCCTTTTTTCTTGTTAGTAAGCTTAAATTTATGTGGTCCAAAGTTATAGCAGATATTATTTTGTGCACATCTCATGACACTATTTATATACCCTCACTTGTTTTAATGCATTCACACAATTTTATGACCTCTGCAGCTTACATGCCAGATGGATAACCTATGAGCCCTGCCTGTGCTGCAGTTTCTCCATGTATGCACCATGTGCACCTCAGATGTACAGTATTAGTGCCAATGTGTGCTTCTTTTGTAGTCTTTTTTTGACTACACATGCTTCTCAAACTTGAAAGGTCCTATCTTTATTCTTCTAGGGGATCATATGATCAACACCAACTGTTCTGCTGTCCATACCCGGCAAGCTCTCTGCTGCAAGATGTCTGTGGAATATGATAAATTCCTGGAATCTGGGCAAAAGTAAGTGAAACACATTGCTCCGATTGACTTTGTTTCTTCCAGTTCTGTGCTTAAAGGAAACTTCAGTAACCATCTCTGTTCCAGTAACAAATGCAGTACTAGCTAAAATGTAGGGATGAGTGCGGGAAAGGGAGCACAGCATGAAGCAGTGTTTATAAACAGCCATCATCTGAAAGGTGGAAAGGTTTATAATCTAAGGGGTTTATTAATTTCAGCCTCTTTACAGACTTAGCATCTGTGGGTGCTTTCATCTTTCCTAATTTGGGACAATAAGAAATATTTTCTGCTCCGAGCCTGAAAGACTATGACTCAGTTGTAAACCTATAACTCATTTCTTTGTCCCTATAACTTCCTGCTTTGTTTTGTTTGAAGGTGGTTTTGCCATGTGGACGATGACAACTATGTGAACCCTCGGACTCTCCTACATCTCCTGTCTGCCTTTTCACACAGCCAGGATGTCTATGTGGGGCGACCGAGTCTGGACCATCCCATCGAAGCAGCTGACCATGTCCAAAGTGATGGATCAGTAAGCAAGCTTTTTCACTTTGTCTGAGAGATACCCCGATTTTCTAAGCTTTTAAAACATTGACAATTCATAGGATTCCCCAATAAACCCAAGTGATTTAATTTGCAGGAGATGAACCTACTGATGGTCATTTTCAGTGGTAGGATGCTAGGTTAAATGCACCTTCACTCAAATGTTGTATGCATATGCATGCACAATGGAGGTTGTCTCCTGGATAGCAATCTGTTTCTGTTCCTTTACTCACATATGCTGTGATCTCCCTCACACTGAGCTTAGTAGAGCCTCCCCACCCTTACTCTTACTTTTCCTTTGGTGGCTTTGTGGGCAGTGTTCCTTGTTTTAGGGCTTGGAGTTTGAGTGGAAGTTTAAGGGGGTTTTTATTTGTTTTGAGTGCAGTATCACACACATTATCATCTTGAACCAACCTCAGATGGGTGACAAAAGCTTTCTGGACAGATAAAGCATTTCCAATATGAAGTGGTTACTAGGTTTCCAAGAACTGGAAGCAAATGTATATCAATCACAAGATGCATGTGCTAAGAAAAAGTCCTAACCAGGTCACCTGCACTGCCAGGTATCTTTAAAGATATATCAATCCACTGGCCCGAAAGTCAGTTATAAAGCATCTTGTTAGGGAAGACTCTGCACAGCAAAATAGTCTCCTTGGACATGGAGCTAATATATATGGACCACCTTTTACATTATCAGTAATGCTTAGCTGGCTATGACCCTTGGTTAAAATGAGCAGGGGACAGATGGAATTGGGTAGAAGTGACTATCATTTTTCCACTTCATGTGTGCTACCTCCCTTATGCTAATTTGATGGTTCACCTGCTGTCTGTTTCAAAATAGTTTCATTTAAGAGAACAGTTAACTGTGCTTTTAGCAGCCTAAAAAATAGGGCTTCATCTGTAACCTTGAGTTCCCTTCCCTGCCCAGCCAAACACAAAAAGCTGATTATCAGTAAACTGTTGTGTGTTTTTTCTTTTTGCTCTTCAGAAGACAACCGTGAAATTCTGGTTTGCTACAGGTGGAGCTGGGTTCTGTATCAGCCGAGGTCTTGCCCTGAAGATGAGTCCCTGGGCCAGGTAAGCACTGTTCCTAGCTGAGCTCCATCAATACATGTTTGGGAGGCTTTAAAACATATTTTGCCTTGTCTCCTATGCTCTCTGTCACAGCCTGGGCAATTTCATTAGTACTGCAGAAAGAGTGCGTCTTCCCGATGACTGCACTATTGGCTACATCATCGAAGGGCTGCTGGAGGTAAAGCTGCTACACAGCCCGTTGTTCCATTCCCACCTAGAAAATCTGCAGAGGCTGCAAGGCGAGTCTGTGCTGCAGCAGGTAGGGCTATGCCTCATGTCTCCTGTTCTTATAATTACACCTCAGTCTAATCAGAAAGAATACTCTGCGTAGACTTAGCACTCTTCAGCAAAGAAGGATATCCACAGACTCACTCAGAGCTGTGTCCTGCTCAATTCCTTCATTTAGGTAAAAAGTGCAGTTTCACCCTAGCCAACTAGGTCGTATAGCTGTCCCCTCCTTTGGGGACACATTCTGCTACATGAAGCCTAAATAGGGTATTCCTCATATCCTTCTAAACCCTGACTTTTTACATCTTTTTATAGCAGTAGCAGGAAGTGTGGAAGTTAGCTGAATAGTCTTCCTGGGTTTACCTAACAAAGTTTCTATCTTAATTCATACTGTTCAAAAAGGCAGGTATAGTAAGTACTTCTTCAGTAGCTAAGACATAATTAAATGTTTGATCATTTTTAAGATTAATTTGTCTGAATCTCAAGAAACTTAAAGTTGCTTCTGAAAAATCCAGTTGTTTTTTAATTGCTGGGCTACATTTTACCTTCCGGGCAGCAGATGGCGCCACAAGGCCATCCAGCAGCGTTGCCTGCCTCACACTGCTTGACACCGTAAGTAAACAGGAGTGTGGTTTTGCCCCTGTGTGCTGCGTGGTTATATTTTCCTGGCAGTTGTATTAGGCAGCAGAAATGTGTTCTTGGGACCAAGTTCCACTGTGATGTCATCTCCTTCATGTTAGTGAATTTGACTGTAGCATGAATACATTGTTTCACAGGTGATCACTAATTCAATGAGATGAACACAGCTAATGCAAAACCCAGGAAATGTACAGTCATAAAGAAAACATAAGTCTTGTACCTGACACCTGAAAAATTCTTAATGCCGTGCTTGTGTGGAGGAACAGTCCTCATCTGGGGTTCCAAAGATTTAAATTTTGTTCCAGATTTGAAACATGACAATCCTTTCCATGCCATTTAACATGCAAATATTTATATTTTCCCCCTGTGCTAAAATATTGCTATTGCAGACTTCAGGCAATGTCTGGTGAGGATGAACATGTTTATTTACACGATGAACGTGTGAAGGTACAGACAGTAGCAGGATTAATGTCCTTACAAAGCTTGGAATTAAAACTCACCTTGTCCTTCAGGGCAATGCAACTTCAGATCTTCTGTGTATTCTCCCACACTGCCCTTAGTGCCATTCAGTGCCAATGTTGCTTATGTCAGAACTAGCTGCTGTCCTCCAAATGTGATCTGTGTTCAGATTAGACAGCATCTTCGGAGACTTTCTTGGTACCTCATAAATAACCCTGCAGTCTCCACCCTGGTTTTCTGCATTAGTGTTACAAGTTCTGAATATTTACTTATTTTTATAGGTAACCCTGAGTTATGGTGACCCTGAGAACAAACACAATGTCGTGAGTGTGGGAGGAGTGTTTGGTCTTCAGCAAGATCCAACCCGGTTAGTGTCCACTTCCAAAACAAGATCTTCCTACCTTGTTCATGTTTGTCATCTGTAAGATGATCAGACCCACTAATGGGCTTATTTTCTCATATCAGCTCATGTTACTGTGCCAAAAGCAGGTAGACCCACCCTCTGCTCCATCAGACTGCTGCATATTCAATGCTAGCATGTTCCATGTATGGAGAATTCCAATCTAATACTGTTTTGTTTTTTTTTTTAATATAGATTTAAATCTGTCCATTGTCTGCTTTATCCTGACACTATTTGGTGCCCCGCTAAGAAGATGTCATAATTCTTGACCAGCCACTGACACCTGTGTCTTAGCTTGTTTGCATAATGCAGGAGTTGTGGAGTATTTTGGTGGTTTTGTTCTTATTCTGGGAGACAACCAGTGGTATCTACAAAGGAGGTAGACAGACTCTGTTTAGAAAAGCAATAAGGTTTGTTCAGCTGCAGCCTGGGACATTCCAAGAAGAATCTTTGTTCTTTTGTCTAGTGGCTCTTCATAAGATGACGGCAGTCCTGTGTGTATGAGTCACTTCACACTTTCTGATGTCATGTGAACCTGTGCTTGGGCACATCTGAGGTAAATGCAGTACTGGGAGTGAGAGTGTTCTTACTACACTTAAGGGTTTTTAGAAGCCACTGTCTTGAAGCTGGAGTGCTAGAGCAGACTGTAGTCCCCATGGTGACAAGAGAGAGGAAGTTTTCACTCACCTTTCTAGGGAACAGAATTATTTAAGAGCTTCTGTGGCCTGCCAGATTAAAACTCCAGTGGGCCAGAATACAGAAATCCTGGAATCACTAGGGTAAACAAGGCTGAAAGCCTTTGTCATGAGAAAACCCTGTGTGAGGGTAAGCTTACTCAGGACTGGATAAATTGCTTATAACATGCACTCACCCCTGTCATCCATGTGTTCCTCCTGTGGAGGTAATTGTCAGACCTGGCTCGCATGTCAACTGAATTGCAATGGTTGATGATTATGATCTATTCCCTTGATATTTGATATTGAAGAAATATCTGCCTGACAAGATGGTAATTGTTCCTCCCACTTGGCTGGTTGTTGGTCACATGAGCTGGAGAGGCTTGTGCTGGCAAAACACACCCTGTCTCTGAAGCAGTGTGAGCGGGGAGGAATGCTAGATAGCGGCAATGCACTGAGGAGGGCTTTGATGGTATCATTTGAGGACCTTTAATTGTATGACCATGGTTACTCCAGCTTCTTCAGATAATCTTTTAATTACCATAAAGTCAAGATCAGTGTTTTTACTCCTTAATATTTCAACAAATAGTTCATGTAGTCACTAAAAGGAGATTGCACACTCACAAGCAGTTCAGTGCTCTAGTAGTATCATCTGCTGCTTTTTAAAGAAAGTAAGCTTTGTTTTGAAAGTGGAAGGAATGTGGCTCCATATGTTTACTTTTTTGTTAGCCCAGACTTTGGCCATGTGCAAATTGTACCTGACCTGAAGAATACCATTAAAAACTACATTTGCAAAATCACTGTTTACTCTTATAAAAAATACTTGCTTGTTTAGTGCTAGTTTGAGGCCAAATTAAGGGAAGACTAATAGCATGTCATTGTATGATCTGGAGCTATGATTACTGTCGTGATTGTGGACCTGGCAGAAGTTTCAGGTTTCTAAACAGCTGTGCTAGTTACTTAACTTCTTGGAGAGCATTTGTAGTGTATTCAAGTATGCCACTTAGCACAGGTGTCAGCCTCCCAAAGCACACCCTGTTGCCTGCATTTTAATAAACCTTTCAGGGTTTACCTCAATACAATGTCCTCTTTGCATGATTTTAGGTAGTTTCATTGAGGAGCAAATAAGCTGACTGCTACTTACTACAGTCCTGCAGCTCTTTCTGTCATGTGTACTAAGGTACATATGAGGTATGGAAATAAGAAAGCTGCAGGGAACTGGATCAAAGCCCAGTTAGCACACTGGCTGTTCCATAATGGGCTGTCACAGAAAACAGAGGAGGATTTGTGGAATAGTAGGTTCTACCTCTTTATTAGTTCTGCTAACTAGAATTGAGGCATCCTGTGGTTTAATTATTTGTCATTAATAGTTCTGGTATCCATATATTTTTTTAAAAACACTTGTTGGGTTCTTGGTTTTAACATCCTATAGAAGAAAACTGTGAAATTTCATAAGCTCTTGAATTGATTTTGTCTTCAAGCACTGCTTCTGAACTCTTCTGTTGAAACTTTTCTTCCCCTCCCACTGGAAAAAGCCTCTTGTAAGATAACACAATAAACAAAGACTGGGCAGCAATTGTGGCAAACTGCAGTTAAAAAAATACAACACTTTATATTGATGGCAGCAAAACTAAATGGTAGAAGTTTCACACTGTGGTCACTGATCACACTCGGTGTGCCAAAGAGGCAGTGCCCTCAAAGCTGGGAGTGTGTTTATGGAACTTTAAAAAAGGACCATGTTCTTCTGCAGGGCCACATGAAGGTGTTCAGTATGTTCAGGCTCGTTGCAATGTTTCTTGTGTTGAGAATACAGTAAGCTGTGTGGCTATCAGGACGTAGCTTTTTTATCAAACTACTTTTTCATACAGAAAGTGATTCTATAAAATAAATATTTAAATATGTCAAAGGCTGTGTTTTGTCATATTTCTTCACATGTGCTCTCTATCAGAAATGGAACATAACCTCACTAATTCAGAAAACTATGCCCTCCTCAAGCTAACGTGGTGCCAAGGGACAAAAAGCAAGTATACTTGACTGGGATGTGGAGAACAGAGATGGATAAGAAGAATCCTTGCAGCTGCTTCTTAACAGTACAGTCAAAGAACTGAGATAATGAGGATTTTAATTGTCAGCAGCAGCAGCTTCGAGGGGGCAGAGCTGGCGGGTCTTTTTCATCAGACTCTAAAACGCCAAGGGTGAGAGCCCCGAAACTTCACCTCTGTGTGCCTGTCTTTCTGGATAAGCCTGGGGCCGGCCGCGGGGTCAAGCCGCGCTGCTCGCTCGGTCTCTCGGGCCGCCCCGCTCCCGGACCCCGCCCCGGCCTAGGGCCCGCCCCGGCCACAGTCCAGCCGAAACATGGAGCAGCGTCTCGATTTCCGCGGACGGCGGGCCCTGGTGACGGCGGGCGGGGGCCGGGCCGGGGGTCGGGCCGGGCCGAGTCTGACGCCGTGGCCCCGCAGGGATCGGTCGTGCCGTGGCCGTGGCGCTGAGCA